CCTTAGTCCTCAAGCTGACATCTCTGCTCTTCAACACTTTAAAAAGTTCCTGTGCAGCAGATTTGCCCAATGCAATACGTCATCTGATCTCTTGACTGCTACTTCCACGAGTGTTGATAGTTGATCCAAGAAGAATGAAGTCCTTGACAAGAGTGTAGCAGATGAATAGTGAAGATCTGAGGTAGAGAAACGTAGGGGCCAGGGTGTATCTACCTTGTGGTTGTTTTAAGGAATGTGAAGTGAGCTAAGAACCAAAGCACAGTGTCTTAGCTGTCTACTGCTGCTATTACATAAACAATGCAGGTGGGAGAGTTGAACAGAAATGTATTTGCTCACAGTTTATATGTGTGTTATGTACGGTGGCTATGAGTTGGTACCGACACAATGGCACCTAACAACAAAAAGGATATATACATGTATATATGTATAGTCCTGATGTGGTGCTGTGGGTTAATGCACCAAACTGCAAAGCTGTTTGAACTACAAGGTCAGTGGTTCAAGCTCACCAGCTGCTTCTCGGAAACCCTACACAGGGTCGCTATGTGTCAGAACTGACTTGACGGCACTTAACAACAATACAACAACATATGTATATGTAAAGATATATATATCATTCCAGTCAATCCCAACTCAAAACAGCCCTATAAGACAAGAAAACTGCTCCATTTGGCCCCTAAGGTTCTGATCTGTATAGAAGCAAATGGCTAGGTCTTCCTTCTGGGGAGCCTCTGGTAGGTTCAAATCTCTAGACCTTTAACTCAGAACTCGGTTAGCAGCTGAGTGTTTAACTGTTGTACCACCAAGGTTCCTAAAAAGTGAGAAGTCCATGTTTGCTCTAAATACACGTGTCTTGATGTACATTTACATGACACATAACACCATCAATTTTAAACATTCTAATTTTCAGATTCTTTTCATTCCGTCACATGTTGTTCTTGCTTGGTGTTGTCAGGTAGATTCAGATCCATGAGTGGAGATCTAGCACAGGCTCGAACTGCCCCATAAGGTTTCCTAGGCTGGCATGTAGACAGAAGCAGAGTACCAGGGTTTTTCTCCAAGGACCTGCTGGGGTTTTATACCACACTCCTTTAGGTCAGTTCCTAATTTCAGTTTGCCTTCTCCATGCTTTCCTGAGTCAGGGGTCACTGCATTGCATCCCACTTTCACTGGCATCAATTTATGGTATCCACCCAGTCCAGGGTACACCCTGCACTTCTGCTTCCCTTCTCTGGTTAATCCAGAGCCCAACATTTCTCCAGCTGGGTCAGGAAGTTTCTTCTGTAACTTCCTTATCTCCAGACCACCCACAAATACCTCTTCTTCCCTAACATTGCACTTCCCTTTCCTCTTTCCATTTCTGAGCATCCTCATCTGGGGTTTGTCAAGTGTCCCCAGTGGGCCAGACCTTGGCCAAACCTTCCCCATTTTTTTTTTTCTTTATAGTTTTTACTGTGAATTGAGTGACAGTTTATATGGGAGAGCATCGGCTTTACATTTATCCTGTCGTATTTTGTTTCATTGCAATGATTTCAATCCCCTCCATGCATCATCATTCAATAGCATTTGCTTCCAATCCCTCTGTTTTTTGTTGTTGTTTTGATGTACACCGAAGCACTCAGGAATATATAAGCATTCAAACAACAACCAAAGGGTACACCCTGCACTTCTGCCCCCTCCCCGACCACCAGCACACAGCCCCTCTCCCTCCTTGAGTCTAGGGTCCCCAGCTGCTACATCTCTCCATGCCATCGTCTCTGCCTCTATTTCTATCATCACTGCTTCTCTGGATAGGGTCCTGCACTCTGTTCTTCTCCCTTGATATTTGGTCCCAGGGTCCTCTGCTCCCAGACTGCAACTAAATCCTTTTGATGGCTCCTAAGAGCACAGATATTCAATTAGTCCCATTTCACTGGTGAGGACTACAAGCAACTACTGAACTCTACTTGTCAGGAGCAAAAGAGAAAGAATGAAACCAAAATGTCAGAGAAGAAAATTAGTCTATAGGGTTAATAGCCTATATAAACCACAGCCTCATCTAGCCTGAGACCAGAAAGACTAGATGGTGCCTAACTACGATGACTGACCACCACAGATCAAGCAAGGCCACAGCAGATGGACACTGCTAGATCAGAAGAAAGCTTCTTAAAAAAGCAAAACTTACTGGACCAGATAAAACTAGAGGACTCCCTAAGATCTTTACCCTGAGATACTCTTTAAACCTTGGATCAAAACTATCCCTTGAAGTCATCTTTTAGTGAGATGACAGGTTGGTACACAAAATAAAAATATATTACTCAAAAGTGTGGTATTCTATTAAAACACCATCAGTATTCAACCAAAAGGTCGACAATTGCTCTAAAGCAGAGATAAGGTAAGGTATCAGTAAGGTAAGGTTATCAGAGACATTGGAGTACTTTCTAGAAAGGGAAGAACCAGAACATAATGAATGAGGATATTGTTGTTGTTGTTGTTAAGTACTGTGGAGTCGGTTCCGATCCATAGCGACCCTGTACAGGGTTTCCGAGGCTGTAAATCTTTATGGGAGCAGAAAGCCTCCCTGTGTTGCATGGAACCGCTGGTAGTTTCAAACTGCTAACCTTGAGGTTAGGAGCTCTGGTAGCATAGTGGCTACGAATCGGGCTGCGAACCTTAAGGTCAGCGGTTCGAAACTACCAGCTGCTCCGC